CCATGCGGGTGGGAGACCCATTATTCAAAATGCAAAGGTTAAACTCATTAAAGACGTCTATTAAAAGATAGGAAAAAGAATCATTTTTATGAGAACCCCACAGTACATTGTGACTATTGAAGTCCCCAATTACTATAAAAGGAGGAGATATGCTAGACAGGATTAAGTTAAGCTCTGGGATACAGGCAGGAGTAGGATTGGAATATATATTGACACAATTCTGATGTCCATTACTTTTACAGCTGTTGCATTAATATTCTCTTGCAGAGGTGGAAGGGGAATTGAGCAAGAGGTAAGATTTCTATTTAGAAGAATCATAGTGCCACCGTAGCCATCGCTGCGGTCGTCACGGATACACGAAAAACCAGGGATTCTGAATCTGAAACCAGGTCTTAGCCAGGTTTCCGCAATAGTAATGACTGAGGGGTTATGAGTATTTATCAAATTAGTTAGTTCAGATTTCTTGTTCTTGATACTTCGACAATTCTACTGGAGGATGTGGAGGCGATTGAATTTTATAAATTTTTTGGAAGAGCATGTCAAGTTTATTTCTCACGTTAAACGGTAGGTGTATATCGTCAAATTTGCCAATTATGTCAGAGATGGAGGACACAAGTTTTCCAGGAGATTATCATTAGGGGTTAAATTAGCTTGAAGAGGAAAGAGGTAGGGGTAGGGGTAAATTCTTACAATATTATTGTGTGCTACCTTATCATAGACTACAGAATTTGGAACAGGTCTAGTTGGGTTAATTCTGAAAACAGTCTTTCTATAACATTGAGAAGCATGAGGAGCAGGGTGAATACTTGATCACTGTTGTAATGAAGTGGGTGGGCAAGGAATCCCTAAAGATGCAGCTACATCAGCGTAAGGTCTTCTAACTGCAGGGAATCGAGCAGATGCCTCTAAATATGAAATATTTTCTTGGGACATGACCAGTTTAATGCCTTTTTGTCTAGTATGTTCAGGGCAACTTTTATCAGTTGCCAAGTGATTAGCAGAGCAGAACAGGCATGTTGGGATATCTGTAACACAATTATCTCCAGTGTGCTCTTTTGAGCATTTGAAACAGCGTGGCTTTGATCTGCACTGAGCCTTTACATGTCCAAAGCGACAACACTTCAGACACTGTATGGAAGGGAGTATGTAGGTTTCGACAGGAATTGAGGTGTAAAAGCAGTATAAGTGAGAAGGAAGCTCTTGGCCTGAAAATGTAAGAACAACGGTTTGGTTGGCCACCCACTCAATATTATCGCCTTTCTTTACTTTTCGGTGTAATCTCCTAGCCTTTATAATTTCTCCTCTACCTGGGGGAAGTTCCAACTCACACACCAACTCCTCCATGGAAATATCGGTTGGTGTGCCTCTAACAACACCCATTCTGGTAACATTGAAGGCTGGAATGACTGCTGAGTTTATATTTAGCAAGAAAGGATGATTCGATAAAATTATTGGCATCTGTAGCAGTTTTAAAAGCTATTGAGACCCTGTTACGACCTAAATTTGTTATGCTTTGTTTTTCAATATTGGAAACCTTGTTTTGGGATAGGATATGGCCGATCTTGACAGGTCGGATTGTGTAACCAGATGAAGGATCAGGTTCTATACGCTTAAGGTGAATTGCAGAAGGCCCTTTATCACTATCTGTGTATTTTTTCTTTTCTAGAAAATCAGGGTGGGTGTAAATGTTTTGATATGACGCTGAAGGCGTGTCATCATGACCAACTTTTTTTTATGAATGCTTGATGTTATATCCGTACATTTTCGTTTAGAGGGACCGAAACCAGATGGATTGTCTTTATCCGGTGGTTCCGAATCCACCCCGTCAACGTCCATCGTGTTAGTTAAGAATACATAAATTGATTAACTATCGCTACTTACCAACAAATAAGTAATGAACAACACAACACAAATTTATATAATAACAAACACAGAAGACGGCAAAGATATTTATGAAGCTCAACACAAAAATATATCCGAAAATCGCTAAAACACGTGTGACTACCAATCACTCTGACAGCAGAATCTAAAATCAAGATTGAAGTTTGACAGTTGACGTAAATCACAGTGGACGGATATCAGGGTTGCCGAGTGAATAAAACGTTTTGAAGTCGTTGTGATACCAGACTAATTTATTTTTTGTCAAAAGTGCCATCTATATTTAATTGTAGTAACTAAAATTCATTAGGTTTTTTGTATTGGACAAGAATATTACTAAGTGTTAATACGGTGACCTACGGTGCCAAAGACGGGCACACATAGCGGACAAACTTTTAACATCCCTTTTTTTGCGTCAGGGATTAAAATCAGTGTTTTCGATATATTACAAACCGATGAAAAGAAATTTCATTGTTCTTCTTGGCTTACTTCTGTGAATAATTTTTACACCTTGGGACTGCACATGCACATATTGTCATGGTAACTTAAAATTCAAACAAATAACATCGAGATAAAAATTTACGCACGTGACATTTCGTAACTAATAAGGTCGCCCTTGCTATTTCGAGACTCCATTCTAGTTCAGTCTCATGCTTACAAATTTAATTGATAGTCGCCTGCTTATTAAATACTCTATATAGCAATACCAATGCTTTAGTTTTAATTATTTATTTCTCAGCTTTAGTTAATTAGTTATTGTTCTGCAATTACCAGCTATTACTCCTGGTCAATGACAATGATAAAAAAGAGTATATAGTATATTATCTCCTGACCCCTCGGCGCCGTAGATGGAGGACGTCTGTGCTTGGTGGAGACACAAATACAATGTAGGTAATATTGGGCGGAAGTTTGTGAGCAGTGCTCATTATTATTAGCTAGTAACGACTATACGAGTTATTAGAAATCTGTAACAGAAGGAACCTATTGTCGCAACTGGTTTAATTAATAAATGTTACTGATGATCCTAGATTTTTTTTAAACTAAAAGATTAACTCATAATTCAGTATTAAATTAATTGATACTTTATTTCAGGACGCAATTAAGTTTAAATACGGTAACTCATAAAAGTAAGAATTCACGGCCTAGACAAAGATTGCACTTATCTGTAACCCCCCCTCCCCCCCCCCCCCGCGCCTATGAATTCGGAGTATGTATATAAAAAAATACTGGCAGACGTATTTTAAATAACATATAAAAAATAGTTAAAGATCGTACACTTTATAATGTCGATATTACTTCAAATAATTAGAATTAGATTTAGAAAATTGCACCATTGTTAAAATGTATAAAATGCAATGATAAATACAAAAAGTTAATAAAACCAAATATGTTGAAAAAAAATCATCCAATTGACATTTAAAAAATTTGGTTTGGAATTAAGCAAATTAGTTTATAACAACCCCATGTGTTTAGGCCAAAAAAGGTAATTTGTACGCCATCCAATTGCGTTCGAGCTAGCGCCTCACCTGATTTGGTATGTAGGTGAGATAAACGTCGAGGTGGGGCGGCTGCGTGGCAGTCAGTTGCTCGATGCGTGGGCGAAGCGTCGGTGCCCCGCCGGCCACGATGCGGGGAGACCGTCAAGCCCTCTTACCTAAATTCACGGGTCCGTCGTGGATCTAGATAGCTAGATGAAGTACGTGCTTCTTCGTCACGTGGATAGGTGAATTGTGCGATATTTAACTCGTGCGAGAGTGTGGAATAGTGTACACGCGTCGAGTAGATATACGGTCTAGGATTCGAGCCGTGCATTCCTAGTTTGAGAGCTTCTCCCGTGGCATGATATCGTTATAATTGGGTCGTCGCGTTAGTGCCTTTTTGTGTTTTGGTTACCTAGTTAAATTAATTTGCGTGTCAACGAGGCGTATTTTGAATCTTGTGCGACGTGTTATTCTGTGTCGAATTTATAATTTGTGATAAGTGAATCCGGGACATTGAATATTGAACTTTGAACTACTGTCCGTTGCCGTGTCGGGTTCAACTCTGCGATGAGTGTGGAATTAGGCGAATTGAAGTTAGTTAAATGTACAATGAAGCTAAGAGACTGAATAGTGACAGTGAAGAAAGAAGTGGTCCGGCGCTGAAGCAGTCTGGAGCGATGCAGCATTTTGGAGCAGCCTGGAACTCTGCCGCTGCTAGTCGCCTATACTTGCCACACATTCACACATCACTGTACACGACTCGCTATCTACCATTACACACACTCACGGCCTGCCCAAGCCTTGGAGCGAAGTTAGCTCCTGATACAGGTAAGTACCTTTGCTTTCCTCCCGTATAGTTTATTGTGATAGGAAATTCCACGCGGCCATATTGAGGCCCGACCTGCGTCTGCTCGTGAAGTCTTCTGCTGAATGGGCCCTGGAGGATTTGATTCTTGTAGGGGCAGCCGTAGGCCGTAACACCATGATTTAGATCTTCTTAGTGATTAACCTATCAAAATCATAAAAAAATTAAGAAAAGTTTGTATTTCCCAGTAATACCGTTGGAAGAGCTAAAAGTTAAATAAAATAAAGATTGTCCGTAATTATTTTAAATTATGAGTACTTACTTCATTAGGACTTCTCTTTTTCGGTCCGTACTTATTACGAAGTAAACCTATATAGTTCTAATAAAAATGACGATCCGCCATTTAAGGCGGGCAAAGGTCTTATACCAGCCACCAAGTGGATAAATAACCTTAGTTTTATTACAAGTACCTGCCATAGTTCCCTGAATTAATTCAACTCATTTTCGCTTGTATATGTTGTAAATTAAATTACCTTTAGGGTTTAGGGTTTGAGAATATTGTTTTGAGTTTAATATTTGATAGATCTCTCCCTATGATATGAGGCATAGATTTTGTACTGCATAGTTGTTTTTTTTAGATCGAAAGCCATGTAGTCAATTCTACATTAAATTATAAAAAATAACAACTTAACCTAAAATATTTCCTTATTGACACTTGACACTGGGCAGATTTGAAAAATAAGTTTTGAATTTTTAAATAATTGATTGACCTAACTAAAAAGAGTAGTTAAAGAGTATTATAATCTAAATTAGTTTAAAGAACCCACGAATAAACGATGGCAGATGATGGTGAAAATGTAAATATATTACAGAAAAACTACGTTTATTTCAAAATATTTTTTTGTTTACTTTTTTATTGCGGCCTAATTTAATAATTATTGTTTTATTTTATCAGTTCCATATAGTATATAGTAAGTTGATACATAAACGCTTACTGCTGGACATCATCTATTGTAGGAATTTGCAATAATTGGCATGTATGGCGTATTGATAATCTAAATTTATGAATTTTTTAAAACGTTTCCTCTAGCATTTTCTCCTGAATCCTCGGGGGCAGTTTACATAACGTAAATTTCACTAGGACTAACATCTAGACTCGGAACAATTCCTTGTTGGACTCGAACCTTGGGCCATTAGCACTGCAACCCATTGTTAAGCCACTGCATCACGGAGCCGTCAAATTGATGATCTGGAATTGTGATCACCAATCCGCCTGCCTGGCGTGACCTTTTAGCATATCCTCTCGACAATGGAAGGGGGCCATGTCTAGCTGTGAACTTTTATAGACTTATTAAGAAACAAATTCTATTGTCTCCTTTTATTAAATAAACTTAAAAAATCTCATTTTAGGTTACTGTTATGACAGTCAAGGAGCCCTTGGATTTGATAAGGCTTAGTTTAGATGAGAGAATCTATGTTAAAATGCGTAATGAACGTGAATTACGTGGGAAACTACATGTAAGTATATTGTCTTTAATGCCTGCAGTCTGAATAATATACTATGAAAAAATAATAAAATCTAATAGCCCCAAGCGGAATGTGGCCTCCCTGTACTCACTGGCCTCAGGTACTGTGTTCACCATAAAACCCTTCTCAATATTGATATGTTCTAAGCTCTGGGCTCCTTTTTGCTGTTAAAGATTCTGACTATCAAAATGTACAGGTACCACCCACTTACTTATTTCTGCTGCCTAATAGCAGTGCTTGCACTCCTGCATTCTGGTCTGGAGGGTATAGAGATCCATGTAATTAAGGGCTATGAGACATTCAAACTTAGTTCTGGCACTTAGAACAACTTAGAACAGGCGACAAGGTATCTGTAGCCTTCATGTTTGAAGTTGGTTCCATCAGCCTAATCACTTACTATTAAGTAGTCTGTAAGTTCATTACTAATTTCAATTCTTTAAAAAAAAGCTTTCGAAATGCCTTACACAGTGTAGTAGTTTTAAAAAAAAAAGATGTATTAAAGTTACATATGTATGTTGAAACGTAACAAACTAACATTGGTTGACAGTAATTGTTAGGTTGCATATTAAATGAACCCAACAAAATGTTAATAATATTATTAGCCTGATTGTGTGCTTCCAGCAGCCAAATGTATTAATTATTATTACTTTTTGAAGTTCATTGGTTTTAATGAAAAAACAAGTGAAGAAATTTTATGCAAGTTTGTATAATAATTGTTATGCAAACCCTATTTGATTATTATCGATAAGTCTGTTAGTCTGGAGGTTGAGACTTTAAAGAGTGCAATTTACAGAAGTGTGTAAGGTTTAGTTCAATAGGCTGTTCTTTATAACCATACATTGACTCAACCTCACTTTTTATGTTACTTAAATGTTTTAATTTATATAGTTAATCTTAAAAATAGGATGAAGTTTCACCAAATGTCAACAATTGAAAGTATAAAATTATAAATTTATATTACATATAATTTATTACAGGCTTATGATCAACACTTAAACATGGTATTGGGGGATGCAGAGGAAACAATAACAACAGTTGAAATCGATGAAGAAACATATGAAGAAGTGTATAGAACAACAAAAAGGAACATTCCTATGTTATTTGTGAGAGGTGATGGTGTTATACTAGTGTCGCCACCTGTAAGAGTTGGTGTATGAAATAGTCTGTAAGAAAAAAATAAATTAAAATTGCAAAAAGTCATTTTATTTCTTAGCCAATAACTTAATAACAGCTTCATTTCTGAAGCTACGATTTCTAGAGACGAGTAATTCTTCTTCATCCATTGGTTCAATAATTGCACCTGCTTTTGTGATTACAGCAGGACGAATAAGTTTTTTGTGTGCCTTTTCAGGAATGAAAGTGTTTCCAAGTGGAACTCTAATTGAAGCTTCATAATCTTTAACACTACTAAACGGAAATGGTACATCTGAGACTTTGTGTGAAGCAAGTTTTGGGTCTTTATATTCTTTAATAATTACATCACCTTTATTTTCGTCACGTCGTGGCACATTTGGTGGTGCTTTCAAAATAAACCTGTTTTTCTTTCGCCGAGAAGCTTTAACACCTTTGCCTCCCCACTGTCCCCACCCTGGTAAACTTAAGTCTATATCTTGTGGTTTATCCTTATTGATTTCATCTTCTTTTTCTTGTCTAAAACTAGCTACAACATCATCTTCTTCAAACACTTCTTCAATATCTATTTTTGGAACAACTTGTTCGTCATCATCATCCAAATCATCATATTCATTTACATCTTTTGGCACAGATGTATTTAAATACTTTGGCTTGACTTCAATAAACCTGCTAGGATCAATATCTGTATTTGACTTATCTTGTTTTTCATTGGATATCAATGCCTTCGTCAATGATTTATTTTCATCTTTTGAAACATCTGTTTTAGTATTTGTTTCTATTAATGGTTCATCAATTATTGGTTTTTTGTTTTGATTTTTAAATTTTAAATATTCTAACCCATACTTTTCATCAGTATGTGTACTGGCTTCCTTTTTGCTTTCTGGTACTGATATTTTTTCTATTTGATCAATGTGTTTTTTCAACTTCTTAATTTTTTTTGCAACTTTGCCTACAACTTTATTTTCAAATGATTCAAAAATGTTCGATATATCTTCTGAAGCATTAACTTGTTCCTCCTCTTCCTTACTTTGAATTGTACTTACAGGGACAACAACCCAATTTGATGTAGCAACTATTTCTGTTTTTCCCTTTAGGGTTTTATTTTTGATAGGAGGATATTTATTTGAAATTTTAAACTTTTTGTTGGCTGGTTCATTTATCGTATCATCGGTATCCACAGTTCTTCCACATTTATCATCATTTTTGTAACCTATTTTACTAACACTGTCCTTTAGCACATTGAGTACACATTCTGATTTATTTTGATTACCAGTCTCCAGTAAATCCTGGTCAGATTCTGAATCACTAGCTTCTTGTCGTTTAAACATTTTGTTTTTAAGAAACTTTTTATAGCCAAAGTCAAATGCAGCATCCACATTATCTTTATCTGCTCTTTTCATCATCCAAGGATTTGTAGGATCTTGTGAAAGGGCTATGTCTTGAATTTCTTCATTGTTATCAGCATCCTCATCTGAACTTGCTGTGTCTACTGTTTTATGAGTAAGGGATTTACTGACTGCTAATTGCTCAGCTAACTGTTGTCGGACCTGAAAATGAAATTGTAGTAATTAAATTAGTAAGCTTAAATGTATTAGAGCTACCTTGCAGCGCGTTTATAGCTTAGTACGAATGGGTCGACTCGTTCGGGGAAGGACTGTGGTCCCAAAACATACTAAATATAATGTTGTTATGTTTCATATGTATATTGAGTGATGAAAACTTGAGACCTTGTTTTCTGGTAAAAGGCATCTCATCAAAGTTCTTAGGAGTGAATAAATGAAGGTGTTTAATGGGCCACAACATCCACCTACCATCAGATGGACTTTTTATTTGTCACCCTTAATTCAATAGAAAAAAGTAAATATATAGATATTTTTATTTACTTTCCAACCAAAATAATATGCCATAATAACCCACCAACTTTAGTACGATATTGTAAAAAGTCAGTGATGTGCGAGTGTTGACAAATTAACGATGAATGTTCATATGGGACCAATATTTTCTAACTTATAGTTATTTAATATTACATATTCTGAAATGTACGGAAAATTATAATGTATACTTTTTTACTTATTTCGAGTGCACTGTAATATGTTAATGAAATAAAGATTTTTTTCAATTTAACTTTTACTAGCAGAGTGCGCCGCGCAACACTGTCATGATGAATGTTGCACAAAGTTGATAAAGTGACTAACGTTACATTCAGAAAAAAATTGTTTAATACATTGCAATATCAGAATAACAATTGTAGCCATGGTATCCATGGCAAACTACGAAGTGCTAAGCCATGGTGGAGGCCTATGTCCACTGACTGACAAAAGGTTGATGATGATGACAATGATATTTCAAAATACGCTGAACTTAAAAACCATATGGCTAATGGTCTTCATATAATGGAAAAGAAATCTTTCCTTTGACACGCAAGGAAGCTTCTTTATTAATTTCAGAATTTATATTGTATTTTTAATATTACCTAGTTAATTTTGTTTTATTTTGGCATCCTTAAAACAATAATCGCCGTTTGGTACACTTATTACTAGTATACTTGTTATTAAAACTACGATTAGCCCTTAAAGTAAAATAAAATATTTATCGATAACTTAACAATTTCAAACTGATTAAAATTTATTGAATTATTTGGCACATCACTAGCATGTATGGAGGCTTGGCATAATAACCCTACATTTTTTTTAAAATGATTTTAAAGGAATGTAGATCCTCCTAGCTTATTGTAAAGCTTAGAATAGTATGTATTCCGCCGTGAATTTTATGAGTTACTAAGTATTTTCTAAACAGATTCATAGATGGCAGAGATAAAATCAAAAGTTGGAAAAGCCCCGCAGTGGGGTATTTCCACCGTTTTCCAGAATTTTTTATAAAATTCCTTGGTTATTACATAAAATATTGATTTTCTACAGAAGTAATACAGCATATCCATTAACAAATAAATGCTTTTTATGATGCATTTACTCATTTTTGTTGTTATTGCTTGCTATAGTGAAATGGTAAAGGTTTGAATTTCACATGTCACTTATTTTAGGCGGAATAGCCCAGCATGACCCTATATAAAGTTAAACATATTAAAATGCAAACTGTGTGCCTGGCCTATTACTAAAGTTGCCACATTTTCACACATTCAACACTCAGAAAACTCTTACCTCTTTGTCATATTTTGCTCTCACTAGTTTGCTTTTGGCCCATTTTCCAGTATTTTTGTGACGAAGTGTATGCCTCTCTAAAGCTCTAGCTTTTTCAAGTGCCTCCAGTTTCTTTAAGGCTTCTTCAGGATTCTTACTTTGCAGTTCTTCAAATTCTTTTAACTGTTGTTTAAGCTTATCTTTTTTTAATATACTGAAATAAGCAAAAAAAAATCACATACAAAGATACAAATTCAGGATTATTTTTATTTTCTTAGCACGTTCCAAAACCATTTCGCACATTCTAGATGTGTGTGTATTTGAAATATTACTTCATTAGCTAACTGCCTCGTTGGTCTAGTGGTCGTAAACGCGATTGCTGATCATGAGGTTCCGGGTTTGAATCCTAGCCCAGGCCAAAATCAGTTATTGGGTTTTTTGTCAAGAGATTCTCAGTAGCAGCCCGGAGTTGTAAAATTGGCGGTATCCCGTGCCTCAATAACACCAGATCTCCCTTCGGTCGTGTCGGATTACCATCCCAGTGGGCTATAAAAGTGAGGGAGTAGAGAATGCACCTGTGCTTGTGCATACACTTGAGCACTATAATCCTGTCCTGCGCATATGACCTAGTCTAAGTTGAGACTAGCCGTTGTGACCGAAATTTGGTCGGGAGGACATTATTATTATTACAAAAAATATTTTTAGAGACAGTATTGGCCATTCTAGAAATATTACTAAAGCTACCTTCATTTAATGTTTAAACTATTTAATTAATCCAAAAAAATATAAATTTTCTATAAACCATCAAATTCATGAAGAGTCAAAGCAGTGGCACCACAGGAATTGAGCATTAACTGAAGAATTTCACGGTATGCGAGTAACAGGGATTTACACAATTGTTAATAGCAATATACAGTACTGCTTTTACCATATTATTCCTTATAGCCTATTTAAGGCCACTGCTGAACATAGGCTTTTTTCATAAATTGCCTCATAGGGGGGATATTTTCCATAGTTGCCACGCTTGGCAAGCGGGTTGGCAACCACAGTTTTTTATTTTTAGTCATTATTAGAAAGACACTGCTGCCCATCTTCAGTTTTGCTTCTCTCTGTCGCTTCTTATGACATCAAGGGGATGATATGGGGTAGTGGATATTCTTACACCATCACTACATGGGATGTACCATGTGCACAGTGGTAAAGGAAAACATTGTGACAAAATCTGCATGGCTAAGGATTAAAATATTTTAAAGCCTTAGGCCTTTAAAAGTTTGCCAACATGTACTGGTATTAAACAGCTATATAGCCTGTAACTTTACTTTTCTGAACTTTATTTAGTTCTATTAAATTTTTTTAGCTTACATCTTTCAGTTATATTTGTATCCTTTATACTTATGTTCTTATCAATGTTTATTTAGTTTTTCTTTTTTTAAATTGTTTTGTCTGAAATCAGATGCAGTTAAATTATTCTCACTTTACTTAGTTTCATTGGTGCCGGTAGGGATCAAACCCGTGCTGCTTATATACTGTGAAATTTACAGTGAGCAATTAGCCTGTGAGCTACCACCGCTCTAACTATCCCAATATAATAAGGAAAACCTAATACTATTATTTCTTCTATGATGCTTTGTCATTTTGTTTAATAGAACACTAGCATATGACTTAAGTCACAGGGCACTAAACTACAGGTGACACACACTTTACTTTTTTAAATATAAGCTTTAACTAAATATTTAATTAATATGTAATATTTATTATTTTTAGACCTAACATTTAAGGAAAATAGCAGTGATTTCTCAGAGGAATAATTATAAAATATCAACTGTTAATACAAACCGATGGTATTTCTTGCTCTTAATTTTACTTTGTCTTTTGGCTTTAGCTGC